ACAGAATAAGAGACTGTTGTGGCCAAAGAGGATTGTAAAAGGGATTTAAAACGCTTAACTCAAGAACGAGCAGCCGTAGAACGTTGAAATTTTGTTTATGGGACGTTATAGCAGTCCACCTCCCTTTTTCGTCGCAATCGGCCGCACCAATCGTATGTATATATGCATATATATATATTGTTTTAGAAGAATAAATTGAATTTAATTAAAAAAATTAAATTTAAACATATTTAATTAAATATTCTTTGCGCCATTGCTGCAAGGAAAAATTTAAATTAAACATTTAAATTTAATTTTTAAAAATACGTATAAAAGAAAAAAGCAAATTTAAATTCTAAAAGGAAAAAAGCCAAAATATTTTTAAAAAATGTGCAAACATGTAAAGATTTAATTCCGAACTAATCTACAATATCATTTAAATTCAGAAGCATAAGCAAATCAAATGCAAAATCAATCATGAAAATAAATTCTAATTTTTTATTAAAATTAAATTAAACAATTTTTTTTTTAAAATGCATATGTGAATGTCCGTAGAGTAGGCAGGAGACAGACTTATCAAGGGGAAGTTGCCTCCAAACCTAACTCTCCAATCATTCAATTCGTGTTTCGTCATTGATGCAGGCAAGGGTAAAAGTCAAAACCCTGCCTACTCAACGGTCATTCACATATGCATTTTTTTTTTAAAATTGTTTAATTTAATTTTAATTAATTAAATTAGTCAATTTATTTTCATGGATTGATTTTGCACTTGATTTGCTTATGCTTCTGAATTTAAATGATGTTGCAGATTAGTTCGAGAATTAAATCTTTTACATGTTTATACATTTTTAAAAATTATTTTGGCTTTTTTCCTTTTTTTTAGAATTTTAATTTGCTATTTTACTTTTATACGTATTGTTAAAAATATATTTAAATTTGTTATATATATATATATATATATATATATATACACTGGTGTGCAAAAATTAAGGACGAGACGGTTTTTTCAATATAACTTTGTACAAAAGCTTTCCAAATCAACACATTTTATACCGTAAGATCCCCAATACGTAAGGACATGAATAATGTAAGCAACACTTACTAAAAGAGAAATCAGAGGGATAAAAAGAAGCTTTATTGAAAAAGTAGCATGGAGCGCAATGCGAATGAAGGCCGAAACATCCCTGTGATGGGTAATGACTGGTATTTAATCCTGCGACCTTTTTAAGGTATATGCAGGGCTTATTGAAACTACTAATTGATTAAATCAACCACCATACTGTACTCGTTACTGGCCGAAACAAATTAAAATACTTTATTAATGAATCAACTTGTTACAACAAAAGATATAATAATACATAATTTTTTAATCAATTAAAATTAACATATCCTAATTTAGGAAATAGAACACTTTTCCCATATAGTAATACAACGACATATAACAATGACATCCTTGTCGTAATAAGATTATTTGTACAATAATTGTAGTCTAATTAAATTTTATAATACACAGAGACCTCATAACAAAATGAATAACTTTTTCAATTGTTTTAACATTTTTAAACATAAAATTTACAATTGTCAATAATAGTTCATAATCCAATTTTATTCACCATTTTTCCTTTTTCTTTCTTTTCCTTCCTTTTCTTTTTTAAGAGAACATTACCCATAGTCAGTTCTTATCATAAGATCCATTTGTCTTCTAAAACAGGAACAATTTTTATCTAAGCTTGAATGCTTAGTTTCTAGATCTAATTTATATTTAATGTTCGCTTGTACGCAATTAATGCATTCAGGTTCATTTTTACATTCCCAATAATTGTGTCCCCTTTTTGAACATTTACCACATATCAAATCTTTATCACATTTACTTTGAAAATGACCATACTCTTGACATTTGAAACATCTTACAACATTAAGATATTCTTTTACTGTAATTCTATACCATTTCAAATTAATTTTATTTTGATTCATAATCGAACCAAATTTATCTGGTTGAATATTTGCTACCCAGTGTACTTTTTGATTTTTAGCTTTTATTTTGAACAAAAGTTCAATTCCTCCATTTTCAAATATTTGGTTTTGTCTTCTTAATTGCTTCCAAAATTTCATCTTTATCCAGTTCTTCCATCCACGTTATATAATATAATTTTAGGTTGTTTCTTTTTAGGAGCTTTTACTTGAATTTTATCTCTTCAAAAGAGAATTCGTTTTTATTTCTCGTTCTAAGTGAAACAATATCTTCTTTCTTCAAAGCATTGTACAACCAATCCTCCATTATTCACTTTTCTGACATTTCTTAATACCGAATCTTCAACTCAACTGGGATCAATGTTACTTTAACCTACTTTTGATTTAACTTCTTCAGAAGAAGTTCCCCTTTTTACTTCGGATACAATAGAAACCATATGTTCTTCTATTTTCTTTTTAGTTTTTTTCCTTTTTTTCTGATACGTTTTCTTATCACTTATTTTCTGCTCATTTCAGATACTTCAGCAAAGAGTTCTTTCATATTGTGGTTTCTTATCTAATATTTCTAGTTTTCCTTTTGAATTTTCAATCTCCAATTGCTTGGAGATATTAAATAACTAAAAACAACACTTCTTGTGTGTTAAAAACTTTCTTTCTTATTGCAATTGTAATTCTACTTGCATCTTCCAAACAAGTTTCTAGCTCGCTAATTATAGTCCGAGCTTCTTCAATCAAATCACTCTGCACAGAAGTCTCTGTCTGAACTTTTTTATCCATTGTCAATCTCTTTTGGGGTTTGGATTTAGACCACCTCCTCTCCCTTAGGAGGTGGAGCCCTCAGACCACGACAAGGTACCAAACCCCGGGAAGTGTTTCTATTGACTATCAAAATTTAAGTATAAAAATACTTTCCAATAATAAACGCTTTTCTAATTCAATCAAAATTTAGCCAATAACTTCCCCTGAGGGATCCCTGTGATGGGTGTCCAGCAAGAAACATCCGGTCTTTAATAGGGGATATGATATCCCCGGACTGCTAGGCAGGTTTCACAGCGTCTGCCCATGCTGACAATGAGGGTGTCAATGAGTTGTTGAGACATTGCTGCCCATTCGTCTTGCAGCGCCAATCGAAGCTCCGGAATCGTTACTGGTGGTAAGGTACGAGCTGCCAAGCGTCTACCTAGAAAATCCCATACATGCTCGATGGGATTGAGATCCGGAGATCGTGCCGGCCAATCCATACGTTCAATATCCTCACTCTCTAAGAGCTGTTCGGCAGCAACCGTGCGATGACATGGTGCATTGTCGTCCATGAAAAGGAACTGCGGACCCATAGCGCCTCTAAAAAGACGCACATATGGAAGAAAAATCTCGTTACAATAACGGGTACCGTTGACTGAACCTGCGTCGAAGATGTGAAGGTCTGTACGACTACCAAGCATGATGCCTCCCCAAACGAGAACACCGCCACCTCCATACCTGTCCCTTTCAATGATGTTCGAGGGATGATTGCGGCTTGCCCGCTCTCTCCAGATGAGTATGCGATGAGAATCGCTACTCAGACTGAATCTGCTCTCATCTGTAAAGAGTACTCTTCCCCATTCATTGTCTCTCCAATTCCGGTGTTCCCGGCACCACAGAGAACGCCTTCTCCGATGGGCAGGCGTTAGAGGTACACACCGTACAGGGCGTCGTGCAAACAGACCACCACCGTGCAGTCTTCTGGCCACGGTAAAACGCGATATCGGTCGTCCAGTCGCCTGTGCCGTGTGTCTAGCGATTTCTCCTGCTGTCTGCCGCCTGTTTCTTCTGGCCTGTAAGGCAATATACCGGTCATCTGCGGGTGTCGTTCCTCGTGGACGACCACTACTAAACCCCCGGATAGCTGTTCCTATAGTTTGAAATTGTCTCCAAAGTCGTGAAACGATGCTGTGAGCAATTCCGAACTCTGCAGCCACACTTGTCACACTGCGGCCTTTCTCCAACTTCCCAATGATTCGACCTCGGGTAAAAGCATCCAGATGTCGTCTAACAGATTGATTATTCGCCATTTCTCGCTGAGGCAGCAACTCGGTGTGATTTTAACTGCTATACGGCGTGCAATCTCTTTGCCAGCAATACTGATTTTACACCGACAACGTGCTTTATACTACTCAGACACTTCCCCATTACGTCTACCTGCATATCTGCGCATGTGCTACCGTACATCACCTTACTTAATCTCCTGATTGGTCTTTCTGTCCGCTGTGCCTCTTCGTTCAGCTGATATGCTAATTTTTCGACTTGGTTCCTTAATTTTTGCACACCAGTGTATATTCCATGTCTGATACACCTGGCTTGGTAAGCTTAGTTTCGTATTCTTGTATGTTGGTAAATTGTGCATTTTTTGCTTTAAAAGTCATTGAAGTATGTGGTTTTCATGCCTTTTGTTAATCTGCACGCAATAGTTGTAGAATTATCAAGAATTTAAAAGTTTGAGTTGCGAGTTAAGCCTAACGAACCGCTGTTTGTTTACATTTGAAACGCGGTAGAACAGTAAATTAAGTCAGTTTCTGCACCTTCAGTGTCTTTTTGCCGAGTGGAACTTTCTTTTTTACGCACCGAAAAATCTGCCTTCTTTTCCGCTGGCCGAATTGCTTGTTTTTGTGTAGAAACTGCAATTTTAATTGCAAAAATTGTTTTTTTAACTGCTTTTGGTGTTTTATGTTTTTCTACATTTTGCAATTTTTAATGAAGATGTTTTGAGTTTTCAAGTGTTTTTTCCCCCTTGCCGAGAAGTGAGAACTGAATTAAAATTAATGGAATGAGAAATGTATCTCTAGTTAAATTCGAGCAAATAAGTTTAAACGAAATGCAGCAGAAAGAATGCGTGTAACTTAATAGGCCATATAAGGAAGTCATATTGTGTCCCGATTAGATTTTTAAGTCTCCCAAATATATTGAATATCTATCCTAAATATTAGTAAATGTTATTACTTTCTTAAAGACGTATTTTCTTAAGATAATTGAAAAAATTAAAGACTCTAAACTATACTAATCTCTCTTTGTAGATTTAGATCCAGTATGTGGTGATTTAAAATGGGTTTATCAAGCATCGAAGAAAATAAGACGACTTGCTGCCTTAGTCCGAAGATCTACCAACCAGCATCTGAAGACATGGACGATCTTCTGGAATGCCCCCGGAAAAGTAAGCTAGAACATTAACAAAACATTGCAGTTATTGTCATTTAGCAAGACACTTATTGCTTATACAATACTATAATAATGTTTAATTTTAAGTAAAATTGTGTGACCAAGTTTCTTTGTTACAGCGATGAATCTTTTTAAAAAAGTTAATTTTTTTTTTCAGAAGATCTCACCTAAAAAAAAAAAAAGAGCATATTTTTAGAAGGGTTGTTTCTGTTGTAAGACTGTGCTAAACTCATTCGGCTACTTCGTATCTTTTTGCCATTTTTACTTAGGCTTTTGTTCAAAATTTCACATTTATACAAGGTGTGACACAAAAAAGAACGAGACTGGTCCAATAAGTCATTGTACTTACAGAATCAGTTATCCGTGACATTATCACCTTCAAAGCAGTTCCCTTCAGCAGTCACACACTTCTACATTCGGTGCTGCCATTGCTGGTAACAGTTCTGGAACGAGCTTTTTGGAAGGCCCTTCAAGAGATTCTCGGTTTTTGCCTGAACCTCTTCTGCTGAAGTAAAATGTGTTCCCTTTAAGTAAGATTTAACGAAATGAAAAAAAAAAAAAGAAAAAAAAAGTCCCATGGAGCCAAATCAGTTGAATAAGGAGGATGTCCCATCCCCGTAATGTTTTTGATGGTAAGAAACTGCTTCACAGATAGTGCCGTGTAACCATCATTCTATGAGATTCTGCGAATAGGATCTCTTTTTTGAAAACATTTTAGAATGATATTTAATTTTTTTCTACTGATATTCTTTATATTAGATTGGTTTAGATTTTTATATTTTTTAAATTCAATTAAAACAATGGGAAACATTTTTTCACTCACGAAATGACCTAAATTGCGCGAAGTCCCTTTTTTCTACTAGTAGGCAGCGATTACTATTTTTATGCCGGATTAAAATGTTACGAATGTTAATAATCAAACACTTGACTTAAGCAAAATACCAGACAACTTGTTTCTTAACGCCAAGAACTAATATGACTATCCGGGTGCCGCCCAACGGGTATAGTGGTTAGCGTCGCTGACTGCCGTGCCGAAGGGCCCGGAAAAGGCATGGATGTTTGTAAATGGATAGCGTACGTGCGGCATGGGGACACTCAAATATGCGGGAAGCCGAAAGTCCTTTCGAGAGGCTGCTAGTAAGGGATAGGGATGGGAGACCCTCGGACCCGTCCCCCTGGAGTGCTCTCCACCAAAATTGCGGGGTAACCGAGCTAAATCGCACTTTCACCTGTAAGGTGCTCAAAGCTGTTGCCAACGGCAGGCGTAAACTTGCGGCCCTTGCCACGACGAATTTCTTGCGCGTAGGCCGACAATAGGTCAACAAGTGACCTTTACCAACAACAGTGACGTAGCTAACAGGGCAAGTTGGGACAACCGTCCCCTGGCGCCACATCCAGGGGGCGCCACATTGATCATAAACATATCAGAATGGAATGTTTTCCATCCTTGGAACACAGAAAGGGGCGCAAAATCTTTAGGTGTCCCCGGGCGCTGAAAACCTTAGCTACGCCTCTAAGCAACAACAACAATAGTTCGTACTGGAATCCGAATTCCGGCCAACGGGCTGGCTGCATAGGCGTCTATGTGATTTTTCCCATGTGTAACGTGTATACGAGCCAGTTTTCCTTAGAAAGTCCTCCACGAAGGCATCCTTTCACTTAGGCAGACATCTCGCGTGCTTTGCCATAATTAAATAAACTAAATAAATCAAACCAATCAGGACTTGAGCAATCTTTTTTTATAACATTCTGTAAAAAAAAAAAAAAAAAAAATATATATATATATATATATATGTTAAGATTAAAAAGTTGACTTAGAGATAGTTAGCTGAGATACAGGGGTTGGACAAAAATATGGAAACACCTTTAAAAAAACATGTTTCTTTGCTTAATATGGTGTAGGAAACCCGTTGGCATCCAAAACAGCTTGCAGTCTTCTCGGAATGGATAAATACAAATCCTGTATGTTTGCCAAGGGAATATTATACCATTCTTCCTGCAAAACGGTGGCAAGTTCAGATAATGATGTTGGCGGTGGGTGGATAACGAGAGAACGCACTTTCCGTTCCAATGTAGACCACAAAGGTTCGATAATATTCAGGTCTGGTGACTGTGGTGGCCAGGGGAGATGGGACAACTCATCCTCGTGCTCAGAAAACGAGTCCTGGACAATGTGAGCTGTGTGAACAAGGGCTTTGTCTTCTTGGAAGACACCATCACCATCGGGGAACAAAGTTTGTACCATGGGATGAACTTGATCGGCCAAAATGTTCACATAAGTCTTGGCAGTCATGTGGCCTGACACAGATATCATGGGGCTAGCAGAGAACCACGATATGGCTGCTCAAACCATAACAAAACCCCCGCCATGTTTCACTCTTGGCAACAAGCAGTCTGTATTATAGGCTTGAGATGGCGTTCTCCAGACGTAAACTCGGCCAGAAGTGGGAAACAATGTGAAAGAAGACTCGTCAGACCATATTACTCGCTTCCGCTGCTCTATAGTCCAGGCTTTATGACTTAAACACCACCTTTTCCTGTTACGGGCATTAGCATCACTGATGAGTGGCTTCTCAATTGCAGCACGGCCAGAAATTCCCTGTTTATGAAACTCCCTTCTAATTGTTTTGGTACTCACAGGGTTCGGTAACACAACATTCATTTCAGCAGTAACTTTTGCAGCTGTGGTCTTCTTATTTTTCGTCACAATTGCCCTTAATGATCGTCTGTCACGATCACTCGGGACACACTTTCGTCCGCGCTGTGATTTAGCAGATGATGTTTTTCCGCTTTTCAAATATGCGGAATGAATCTTCGATACAGTACCTCTTGAACACTAAACACCTCGGCTACCTTGCTTACGGAAGCACCTACCATACGTTCTCCAACAATTTGCCCACGTTCGAAGTCTGTTAACTCTGACATAATGCAATGACAACCTCACATAACAGTACTCCGACAACAACTGAACTGTTTAGCACATTTACGAAGTTGTATAGGTGGCGTCAGTATTTAAAAACGCCAGCGCCACCTACATATTTCATTAAAATCAATCTTTCTTTTCAAACACGCATTTCACAAGGTGTTTCCATATTTTTGTCCATTCACTGTATAATTAGATCATTGATAAAAAATAATCATAATGAATTTTGTAATTTACACCAATAGGAGAAGGATAAAACTCAACCTTCTTTTGCCGTTAATTTGTGCAAAAACATGTTTTGAACGGTTAAGATCAATGCCCCTCATTTTCGGAAGCAAGACATATTCGTTCACTATCATAACTTTACGAAAGGATGAACTTTTCTTCTTATTTCTTCTTTCTGCTAACGCAGAAATCTGAAATTAGACCCAGACGCGCGTAAGCTGGGCAATGGATATTTAAAGAAAAATAAACAATCGATTACTTTTTGATGACGAAATCTTTTAAAACATTCTGTATCCTATTTTTCTGTAAGTTGCCAATGAGTAACCTTGTCACTTTAACAGCTGCAAACTGCGAAATGAAATTTATAGGTTGTTTTCATGCATCCCTCTGAAGACGTAACTACAGTATATTTTACTTATTTATTTCGCCGCAAATGTAGCCAAGTTTTGGAAAAGAGGCATTGAAAAGCAGCCAAGAAACGTTCTGAAATGAAATTCAATGCTTCTTTTACCTTTTTTTCTTTCCAAAAAAGAAGAATAACCACCTTCTAAAATTATCTGTCTTCTGTGCAAGAAAACTCAATTAGCCTGACCTCTGTTGAAGAAGCATGTTAATTAACAACGAAAATAAATGCTTCGTTATTTTAAACTATAAAAGATACTGGTAATATGTGCGCAGTTATAGAGTATAATACATAAAAAAATCTGATGTCTACACCACATGACTTCCTTGTACGGAATATTAAATTACACGCATTTTTTCTTGTATTTCATTTAAACTTATTAGATTGAATTAAACCTACTTCGCCGACAGCGCATAAACCACAATAGAATAAATGCATTCTTTAAAATTCACTTTGTTTACCATAGCGACACTCTGACACTTAACAGTATTATATTTCGTTCACATTATAACTCATAATGCACAAAATTTATATCATTTAAAGACTAGAATTATCTAATCGTTGCCACATGTTCTATTCAAATACTATAATAAAGCTAGAACGATGTATAAAAGAAATTAAGCAAACAAAACCAAAAAGAAACAGTTTTTCACAGACGATTCAGTATTTCTCATTTAATTAATTCAGTTCTCATTTCGCGAGAAGTTAAAAATACATAAAAACTCAAAATATCTATATTAAAAATTACGTAAACCTTAAACACTTATTTCCTCGAAAAAATTTCCAGAAAGAATTAAGCATGATTTAATTGGCAATAATAAATGAAGGCGTTATCTTTGTTGTTGCAAGCTTAGTTTCTCTAGATTGGCAACAAATCCACTAGTCTCCTGTTTCAAATGTAAACATCAATGGCCGCCATCAAAAAAAGGCTTAGCGGCACTTAGACAACTTCAAAATTGTTGATAATTCTAAAAATATTACATAGAGATTTACTAAAAGCATAAAAACCTTAACCGGAAGATAAGAGCAATATAATTCAATCATTTTTAAAGAAAAAAATGTACAATTTACAAACATATAAGAGTAAAGAAACTGAGATCACTGAGCCGGGTAACAGAGTGGATATATATGTATAAATATATTTATATACGTTTGGTGCGGCCGATTGCGACCAAAATACGAGGTGCACATCTACATGTTATAGCAGTCCTATATACAAAATTTAAACGTTCTGAGGCTACTCGTTTTTGAGTTATGCGAGATACGTACGTACGTTCGTACAGACGCCACGAAAAATTCTCTTCAGAATTCATTTTAAAGCAGTTTTATAATTTGTTTTGGAGGAAAAGAGTGTTTCATTCATTCCTTACGTACAGATATCACGCAAAAACATCGTTAAATTGCATTCGATAGCGGTCAAAATGGATATTTTCGTTGAAATATG